GATAAGTATTATGTTTTCCCTTAAGGCTTTTGGGACCTCTCCTGTCTACCAGAAGTTCTTGAAGCTATTTGCTAACTGTCCCAGTATTGTTTCACCCGTGCTAGATGCTCATGGAATGAGCATGACATTTATATATTTAAAAACATGGGATTGTTTGGGAAGCTGCAAGCCTCCTGACTGGAGGATTACCATGGATGATGCTGAAATGCCAGTAGTGATTCTGGGAGGGACCTAGCCTGCCCCTTGCTCCCCTGGCTCATAGAGCCGTACAGCAGCCATCTTGAAGCACCAAGGAAAGACTCAAGTGCTGACTCAGCATGTGCAGAATGATGGCTGAATGTGCTTTTGGCAAACGGAAGGGATCTCTGGCATTATTTACTCACAAGATTGTATCTCTGTGAGAAAAATATCCCAATGGTTATAGCTGCCTGTTGTGTCCTGCAGATCTGTGAGGTAGAAAAGTTGCTGCTGAGGTGGAGTAGAGCAGGTCCCTGCAGAGTTTGAGCAGCCAGATACAAGGGCTATGAGAAGAGCTCAAAGTGGAGCTATACTGCTGAGGGAGTCCTTGGAAGAGCACGCTGATAGCGAGACACAGTAAAGTGTTGTGCTGGACTGTGCTCTACCAGGTCCTGCTGTTTTGTGAGTCTGTTAGGAACTGTATTGATCCATCTTTTAGATTTGTGGTGCTTGCTGTACATCTATAATTTTTACATTGTATTTGTCATTGATCCTGAGTCCTGTCCCACAGCACAATAACAAGGAAGTGTGGGCTTTCACGGCTTTTTACTGCTAGGCATTGTAGAGTTGCTGTAAAGTGACAAAGATGAATGAATGACTTTTCAAAGAACAGAGTCAGAAAACCAATGCAAAGAAAAATCTGGGCAAACTAAAATCAAATGCATCAAAATGCAATACATTAATGGAAACGAATTTAACACAGGGAAAGAATGACCATGGCCATTTTGGCTACATATATAGCATCCATAGCTATCACAGGGCATCGATTGTCCTTCCTTTAGCCAGGAGTGGTAGTGATGTGGTTCCTGATACCACAATGTTAAAGGGGAGAGGGGCTGTAGAGAGGAGGTGCAGTGGAGTTATCTGAGGACAGCAAGGGGGGGGGGGGGGGGGAGACCAGGGAGCAACAAGAAAAAAAAATCACAGAAGGATTTTGTTTAGCTTGAGTGAGATTTATGATCCGAGATGTGTGTGCCCCTGCTAAGTGTCTGGGCATTTAAAGGTATATACCAATCTCTCTGCAAAGCAAATATGAGTGAGGAGTGTGAATGGACCTACCGAGGCATTACTGAGAGATGAAAAGAAGATGTGTAGATCCACAAGAGTCTGCAGCATCTGTATTTACTGCTGGAGAAGCCTCATAATGTTGCAGGGCATCTGCCTTTCTTTTTCTTGCCAGGTCTCCTGGGACATGCTCCTGTCCATTGTTTCCTTCTCCATACAGCCTGAAGTATTCAGCCTCCAGGCCTAATGCCCATGGACTGATCCAGCACTAGCTTGCAAGAGCTCATTGAACATATCAGCCCAAGTCCCTGCCTTTTTCCTCCTTAACTGACTCAGGTGCTCTGGGTGTGGAGGGCAGCAACTACAGATAAAACACACAGAGGTACCATTGTCAGTATTGTCACAATGGAAAATGAAAGTTACGGTTCAGGACCTCCTGTGCACACTTCCCTAAAGTTTTTAGACAAGGCATGTTTCTTGACACTTTTGCTTTGGAGTGCATCTGCATGGTGCCACTTACAGCACCAGACATGGGGAGTATGGCTCGCCAGTAGCAGGGGAAATAAGGAGGGAATTGCTCAGTTGCATGAAACTACTATGAGTATAGGGCAAGGGCACTGAATACTGGCACCATTTTCCACAGGCAGCAATGATTCCAGCTAATCGCTCACTCCTGAGGGTAACAAAGACATGGCTGGCACAGCTGTTGCTGGTGTCCTAAAGCTGCCTGTGCCCATGTGCTGTCAGCTTGTGTACTCCAGGGGTGCCTGGCAGGGCTGTCCTTACAAATTATGGAGCTCTATGCAACTGAGGTCCCCCTTCCCCTCTTGGAAGGATGCCTGGGGCTTCCTTCCCCCTCACGTGGTTTCTGCTGGGGCCCTGCGGCTTACAGCTTCCTTCTCCCTGCCCCCACCACGTGGCTTCCGCTGGGGACTTGGGAGCTTCTTGGGGCCAGAGTGGAGCCACAGAAGCTGAAGGCTCCTGTTTACCCCCTAACAGCTGGCTGCTGAGAGGAACACATGGGAGGGGGCAGAGAAAAACTCTGCTGCCAGCAAGAGAGAACAGCCAGGGAGAGAGGCAGGAGAGGAACTGAGCAGTGGAGGTGTCAGGGCAAGCCTCAGGCATACAAGCACTCATTTGGGTGCCCCAGTGTTTGGATGCCCTACACAACTATGCATTTTGTATATGTCTAGGTATGCTCCTGTTGCCTGGCAAAGTTATCCTGGACTGGCATGGGAAAGTGACCTCCTGTGGAGGAAGCAGTAATGCTGCCATCCCAAGAAACCTTCAGCAGAGGACTGCAGAGTACCTCCATGAAAGAGTAATCAAGAATTCTCAAAAGGATTGAAGGAACATCCCTGTGCACATAAATAAATTGCTCCACATGCCCTCCCCTACACCCAACTCTACACGGAAATGAAAAGCCAATAACATCTCTACTTCTTGGGTGGTAATGTGACCTCTCCTAGTAGGAGTAAATTAATGAAAAGTCAATAGCTGTGTGCATTGTTGTAACAAGGGCACACCCATGCATACTTACAAGCTCGACTGCTAGGACTGACTCGACTGCACGGGAGTCTCAAACAGGTCCTGGATCATGGCATAGATGGACCCCACTTTGGTCACAAATAGCTATTAGCCAGTATGGGTAAGGAATGGTGTCCCCAGCCTCTGTTTGTCAGAGGGTGGAGATGGATAGCAGGAGAGAGATCGCTTGAGCATTACCTGTTCGGTTCATTCCCTCTGGGACACCTGGCATTGGCCACTGTCGGCAGACAGGATACTGGGCTGGATGGACCTTTGGTTTGACCCAGTATGGCCATTCTTACGTTCTAACTGCCCCATCGTCTTTCTCCTTTTCCTTGTGCTCACTGTTCATGGCAGGGATCTGTCTCGCAGACTCCTCAGAGGTACCAGCAGTTGTCTGTGCGAGGACAATGGAGTCTTCCCCAAGCGTGGCATGCAGCTCTTTGTAAAGGGGTAAGTCTGTAGCTTGGCACTGGATTGAGTGTTGGCTTCCATGGCCTTCTGGTACTCCGAGTCCTGCCACACCTCCTTCTATTTTACACAGCACTTCTGCTGGTCCCTGTCCTGCCCTTTCTCCTGCACCCCCTTGCATTTTACATTTCTATGCCTGCACAGTCTCTTCTTCCCACAGTCTAGGAGAGTCAATATCTCCCATCTCATCCTGCAGGCAGAAGTGTGTCTAGCGTGTGTAGTCAGCAAGGTCAGCTTGGCAGTTGCACACAACAGTGGAGACCCATTAGATATGATCGCCAAGCGGGGCAATCAGAAAAAGGTATTTCACAAATGTGCTGGGCTTTATAGGAAGGAGAGAGGGTTTCTGGTCTCAGTGGCCCTTGAGCAGAGGAGTTCACAAAGTGGCCAGAGCAGTGAGTGTGGGGCATTGCAGGAGAGCTGCTGGAGGACTGTTCAGTTGACATGGGCAGGTATAGTGTTTACAGTTGTGCTGTGTTGATGGCAGTACATCAACCATAGCTCTGCCATCAACACTTTGTGGGGAGATAGTGTCACCATGTTGTCATAAGGGGGCACTTACATCAGGAGGAAACAAATTTAAGTTAGGCACATACACAACTAGGCTAGTGCAAGGCAGTTTAAGTTGACCTAGCTTAGTTTTAGAGACCCGGTTTAAGTCTTACCATTGGCACACTCACTTAGTTGAGCCTACATTTTTGTGCTCACAATTAATCTAGGCACAAAATTGGAGGCCAGTATTCAAAATCAGGCTGCAAACATGCTATGGCACCTAGAGTAAGATTGGGGTTCGGCTATGGTATACTTGGCCAATGTTTCTTGCCTTTCTATTGTTGCATAGCACGCTACGAACAGATGATGGACAGCTACCTTTCAATGCAGAAAGGGATGCATTTGCCTTGGGAAGAAAGGCTTATTCATGTAAAATATCATCAGTGATGGGTGCAAATGCTCCCAAACCTTAGGAGATTTTAAAAAATTCAAGTCTAGATCCCTGGGTTTTCTCAAATGGCCCTGAACCAAGTTCTCAGATTGCAATGTTCAAAATCCAGATCTGAATTTACAGCCATTTCTCCTTATATTTTTCCTCATTTTGCTAGAAGTCTTGTCAGTTTTTGTAAAAAATGTTTTTAAAGCCGTAGGGTGCAGGGCTTACACTTACTAAATCACAAGGTTTGCCACATAAAGTGTAGGGACATGCCCACGAATGGGAACTGGCTGTCTTCACTTTTGTTCTTGAATGCTTGCCAGAGCCCTTAAGACAACACAATTAGGTTCAGCCACCTACCATCCCTGCACAGAAGGCAACGCACTGGCATATCAGATACCATCAACGCATTTGCTGGCCGTGCAGCTAGCTCTGCTGCAAGGCTCTTTAAAGCCTGCATGATGAGAGAGAACAGAAAAGGCTGGAAGCGCCTACTGTGTCTTTTTCTTGGCAGCTTGACAAGGTTGAGGTGACCCGGGGTTCAGTTTCATTTCAGAACTCAGGGAGTAGAAAGACGAGCGAGATACTAACCCATCATTCCTCTACTTCCTTGTGTTCATTCTTGTTTAAATGTTCTCATGGTAACAAAAGACAGTAGAAATCCTTCCATAGAAATGCCATTGTAAACTTTGAGCCTTTTTTGGAGTGTGATGGGTTTTGCTTTCGAATGACACAATCTAAGTTGTTTGACATTAAAATAAGAGTGCCCTAGATTTTGCACTTGCTTAATAGTTTTCACACCTCTTATCCACAGAAATAGTGACAATGAAAGCTAGTTCTGCACCAACACAATGGTCTTCATGTCATCCTGTACCACAAAGCAGCACCCTGGAAACCCAATATCAACTACTGTCCTATAATTATGAAAAGTTTTGTAGGAAGTATGCCTTGTGAGATATCATTTTAAAAGTCTTCATCTGTTGGACATTAAGATCCTGTTGGGTTGTATGTGCCGTCATTGTATGTGCAGTTATGAAATTTTGCTGTGTGTGGGACTGAGATGTGTTGGGAGGATGGGAACACCCAAAATCAGCCTTTCAGGTGTAGAGTAACCAGACAGCAGTTAATGGCTCATCAACACCAGTCAGGGAAAGAATCCTCTATCCCAGGCCTACTCGCTGACTCTGGGTGCCCCTGTGCTGGAGCACTCATGAGGAAAAGCAACCAATGGCAACTACCAATTAGCTCTCCCTACTAACCTCACCAATCAGCACCTCCCCACACAGCTTCTCCTGCTCACCATGATCAGCTTGTTTAGTGGCATGAAGGAGGTTCTGGGGTGGAGGGGGAAGGAGGGATGTAGCACACTTGGGAGGTTGTGGATCAGGTCAGGAAGAGGCCAACTCCCCCTTCACAAGTACAGATCTTTCCAGTACGCTGGAAGAAACTATAAAAGAGGGGAAGTGACATCATCACTTGATCTCTCCCTCCTTCCTCCCCCACTTTCCCCAAAACTCAACCCCCGAGACAAACATATGAAGGAAAAAGATTTTGACCTGGAGAGGGTGATCATAGGCTGGAAGAATCCCGGCTTGTATACTGAGGCTCTGGAACCTGCTTGTACCATCTACCAGCGTGAGCCATTGCTTGATTCAAATTCTCTTCAGTTTGCAAAATTCAGATAGTGAATGCATTTTTGTTTCTTAAGTAACCACCTCTGATCTTGTTGCCTATTTATAACCACTTCAAATCTTTGTGTAGTTAACATGACATTTGTATTACAGTTTACCTAAAACAGCGTGTTTGGGTTTAATTCTTGGGAAACTTCAGCTCAGTTTACAAAGGCTAATCTGTGTCCTCTCCATGTTGAAGGAGGGGCAGACTGGGTAATGAACTTCTACACTGGTCAGCTGTGTCTAGACTGGCCAGCTTTTCCATAAAAGGGATGCAAATTAGACACATCGCAATTGCAAATGAAGCGGGGATTTAAATCCCCCCTGCTTCATTTGCATAAAAATGGCTGGCGCGCTTCTTGCGGAAATACTATTCTGCTCCCGTTCAGGCAAAAGTCCCTTTTGCACAAAGCTTTTGCGCAAAAGGGACAGTGTAGACACCTCCACAGCTAATGCCCATGGAATTGCCACACACACAGACACCCAGCAGGGGATGGGAGTGCAGGTGCTCAGGCAGCATAGGGCACCAGAATATCATAAGGACAGCCCTGCTCCAAGTGTTTCAAAATGGAGTCCTTGAGGACTCGCTCCATTATTTTTCCAAGGACTGAGGTGAAGCTGACTGGTCTGTACTTTCCTGCATTTTTCGTCTTCCCTTTTTTAAAGATGAGCCCTACATTTGCCTTTTCCATTCATCCGGGACTTCCTCCAGTCACCACGAGTTTTCAAAGATATAACCAGTGGCTCTGCAGTCACATCAGCCAACTTTCTCAGCACCCTCAGATGCCCCATGGCCTTTTGTATGCCCAGCTTTTCTAAACAGTCCTTTCACCACTGACGGCTGTGCACGTCTTCCCAGGGCCAGCCAGGGCTTCCCAGGGCCCCCGGGTGCCCAGCGCATGCATGGCATCGCCCCCAGGCACCCGGCGCATGCGAGGTGCCACCCCCACCCAGCCCGGCAGCCCCGCGCTGCGCCCCCTACAATGGGGTGCCCCTGGCGGTAACCCGGTTGGCCCGTACCTTGGGCCAGCTCTGCGTCTTCCCCATACTGTGCTGCCCAGTGCAGCAGTCTGGGAGCTGATCTTGTCGGAGAAGACTGAGGCAAAAAAAGCCATCTGGGGTGAAGTGAATATCTTCAGACACCCAAAGAGAGAGTAAAATTTCAATCAAAGAAAGGTTCTTCGGAAAATAATAAACTCTAATATTGTGTCTTCAAAAAGAGAGAGATTTCAGCAGCTTTAATTACATTTGTTTTGAGTAATTGCTCAATTTAGGTTTCAATATAAATGCTTGTCTCCTAATGGCTGCCACATTTCTACTCTCACAGTGCTTGTCTCCTCTCCCTTTCTGGACACCTGGGCTGCGTCTAGACTGGCAAGTTTTTCTGCAAATGGGAGCTGCTGTAGACAGCTGCTTTTGCGGAAAAACTTGCCAGCTGTCTACACTGGCCGCTTGAATTTCCGCAAGAACACTGACTTCCTACTGTCTGAAATCAGTGCTTTGCAGAAGTGCTATGTTGCTCCTGTTCGGGCAAAAGCCCTCTTGCACAAATGCTTTTGCGCAAGAGGGCCAGTGTAGACAACGCGGTATTGTAGTGCAAAAAAGCCCCGATTGCGAAAATGGCGATCGGGGCTTTCTTGCGCAAAACCGCGTCTAGATTGGCACGGACTCTTTTCCGCAAAAAGTGCTTTTGCGGAAAAGTGTCTGTGCCAATCTAGATGCTCTTTTCCGCAAATGCTTTTAACGGAAAACATTTCCGTTAAAAGCATTTGCGGAAAATCATGCCAGTCTAGACGTAGCCCTGTAGTACCTGACTGACTAAGGAGCAGGTGTGGCCGACTGGATGGGACATCGGACAGAGTCTCAGGAGGCCTGGATTCATTTCTTGGCTCTCCTGCTAGTTTGCTGAGTGACCTTGGTTATGTCATTTCCCTTCCCTGTGAATTCCCATCTCCTTTGCAAAGAATGCTGAGAGACATAGATGAAAATGGCTGCACAAGAGCTAGGTATTACTACAGGGCGGCAGTCTGCAGGTGAGTAAGTGCTTTGCATAACTAATTACAGACTATCTGTCCTACAGGAAACCAGCAGCATTTCCTGGGCAGGCCCAGAGCACAATACTTCACATGTAGAGGAAGATACATAAGTTAACTCTGAAGTGCTATAGGCAGCAGCTATGCAATGCAATATCTTCAGAGATTAAAAAACCTTTAACTCTTCCAGCCACACCATCATCTTGCAGCTTTGTGATGTGTGTGCACCATGGTCCTTTCCAGGAACCAAGTGCAGCAGTAGCTCTGGGATGCAGCCAGTCTATAATGTAAGTTTCCTCCTCACTAGGTGACCCTCTAATGTTGCATCCATGAAAGAAGCCAGGATTTATGATTCTGGCAAAAGGAATCTTGTGATTTCAGGTTATTCAAATTAACACACCACAGTTTGCTTGGGAAACACAGGACTGAAAAACCTGCACCAAATAGCAGCTGTCTGTGATGAATCCTTTCCAATCACGCAGATACCCGTGGCAAAGCAGAGCGGGGGGACGACTGGCAGGGAGCTAGTTACTGCACATTGATTCTCTGTCAGCACATGTGCCCATTGGACCCATCTCTGGAGCAGCTTTAACCTGTGCCAGCTAACAGCAGTCCCCAAGGGTCCATTCACCAGCTGAGCATAGTCAAAGCACTAGTACAAGAAGCAGGGCCAGGTCCCACCTCTTTGTCTCTCATAAGTGACCCAAAAGGGAAGGAATTCAGCAGAAAATCTGGCTCTCTGCATCCTTACTCAGTTTGCACCTAGCCTTCACTCAGGAAAAAAAATCCCATGGAAGCCAATGCAAATTTGCCTGCGTAATGATTTCTTAATAACTTGAGAACTGAACCACTGTTTTGTAACACATTTCATAAGCATGTGTTTACAAGAAAGTTACATTTTGGGTCTCAGCTCAAGGAACTATGCCCCCTTTAAAACAGGCTGGGATGTGGGTGTGAGGCTTTCTTTGAACATTAAAATGAGTAGTGAAAGTCACAGGGCTTTTTTCCTTTATACAATTGAAGCTGAATTTGAGCAATAACCCTTCTGATTTCTGTGGAGGAGAGGACATGACGTCTTGAGGTAAACCACACATCCCGTAACCACCAGTGTCGTTTGTACAAGCTGCTTCTCTGCAGAAGTGGCAGAGTTGCTTTTCAGCAAAAGTCACACATTTGTAAGAGAGGAGCAATTCCAGTCAAATAGAGATTGGGCAGCAAAAAGGAAGAAAGCTTAACCACAATAAAGCCACCATCGAACCTGAAAGGAAAAAGACGTCAGCAGCTGAGGGCAGGGGCTCTCCTTTTCCTGGTATCTAGCTCACTATAATTATGTGGAAAGAAATTGTGGGTGGGACTGTTACTAACTAGCTGAACTTTGTAACCTAACTCATACACCAGATTACAGTATGGATCCAGGGGCCAATCCTGTGAGGTACTGAACTCATTGACTTCAATGGGAGTTGCGATTGCTGAGCACTTTTGACAACCAAGAAATGTATTTGGGTGCTGTTACCGGGCAGGCCCATCTGCTTCTAATTGTTAGTCTCCTTAGTGATGGGTTTGAGCCTAGGTCAAGGGTTGGATCAGGCAACCAAGCATCAGATGGCATTAGACCAGCGTTTCTCAAACTATGGGCCACGGCCCAGTACTGGGCCGCAGGAAAAAAATACCGGGCCTCAGTGGAGTGCCTGTGTGGCGCCGGGTCCCCCAAGCCCTTGGCCGGCCTGGGCAGAGTCTGCAGCTGGATCGTACGGCTCCCGGTAGAAGCGTAGCTAGGGGAGGTCGGAGGGGAGTGGGGGAGGAGAAGGAGGAGGAGGAGGGGAAAGCCGGCCATCGGCAGCAGCACTGGACGGGGGAATCGGGGTGGGCTTTGGAGATTTGGGTCAGGGGGGCAGCTGGCTGAAGCAGAGCTGGCCAGGGGGCAGGTGGCTGGATGGGAGATCGGGAAGAGGAGTAGGGGAGAAGCGGCTGCTGGAAGCAGGGCTTGCCTGGGGCATTGGGACTGTCCAGGAGAGATTAGGGGGCTGGCAGAATCAGGGCTGACGGGGGGCGCGAGGTCGGGGGTAGGGAGCTGGCCGGGGAAGATGTGGGGGGGAGAAGTGGCTGCACGGGGCTAGGCAAAGGGGGCCTGGGGGGGGAGGCTAAGGGAGATTGGGAGGAGAAGCGGGGGAAAACTGGCTGTCTGGGAGGGGGTTGGGGGAAGTGGGG